CAACAGTTATTAAAGCGGTTGAAACATGTAAAATGTAACTACCCATAATCCTTGTTGGTCTCAGCTTTGTAGCTTTTCGGGTGACTAACTTTATTGAAATAAGTGTAGACAATCTTCATGTATAGCACAAACATACCCGACCTCTAAAATCTAATTTATGCTTCTAAATTCTGAATTCTGGGTGTTTTTTCATTTTTGGAAAATCAGGAACCGTGCATGGCTGGAATGGACTGGACTTCGGTTCACTAGATCGTGTGGATGGAATACCGCTTTTTCGCTGAATTAATTCTTTTGGAAATAACATCATAAAACCATAAAGACTGTGCGGAATATTGGAGTAATCTTCCATTCAACAATGACAATGACTTAACAAATTAATTCGATCTGTAAATCAGCCTTCTATCATCTTCGCAACATTGCTAAAATTAGAAAATTTCTATCACTTCAAACAACAGAAACTCTAGTTTGTCTTCTTCACGTCTAAACTGGACCATTTTAATTGTCTTCTTTATGGTCTTCCTGATTATCTAATTGCAAAACTTCAATCTGTCCAAAATGCTAGCCTGCTCAGTCGTGTGATTACTCGATCAAGAAAGCACTGCCACACATTAATTCCAATTTTAATTCGGCTTCATTGGCTTCCTGTGACTCACCGTATTATATACAACATCCTCTTAATAACAATAAATCCCAATATAACCTGGCTCCATGCTACATCTCTCATTGCATTTTCCCAATACAAACCCCCAAGAAATCTAACATCTTCATTTTCCATTCAATCAAATCGTCAAAAATTTCGTCTAAAACCTTACGGTTATCGTTCGTTTTCCGTGTGTGGCCCTGAACTGTGGAACTCTGTTCCTCCTTCCATTACATCACAATCATCGCTAACGTCCTTCAAGACAGCCCTAAAAACTTATCTATTCAAACAAGCATATAATTTGTAAATGTATCTCTGCAATTAGTTCTTTGTCTATTCTAGTATTACTCTTTCGTGCGCTTAGAGCAGCAATGAATAAGCGCATTGTAATTATTATTATCAAACTCATTAATAATTCATGAGGAAAACACAACAGAAATCACGACCGTGAAGAGTGTTGTAAATCTGATACAAAACTGTGTTCATTTGCATAAACTTTAAGTTGGATTTTCTTGGCCAAATTCACTTTAATTTTGAAAATTTTAGTG